CATGAGTTCTCTCTCTGTCTAGACAACCAGATCACGGAGTGTGGAAGACACAGGCTTGGTCACACAGGTAAGCCGCACCTGAGTCCAGTGGCCACCCAGGACTTGCCCTAGGGGCAGAGGGAGACGGCGCCATGACGTGCTCTCTCCATGCGTGACACCTCCCCCCACCTTCCCCTAAGTCCACGGGTTACTCAAGCGTCACACGGATTCGCCACAGTTCTGCTCATGTTCCTATGCTGTGAATACTGGGGTGTTTTGTTTTGTTTTGTTTTGTTTGTAAGAAGCCATGTATAATTTTCATTATTTGAGTCCTCCTAAATCTTCCATACTCCACATCCATTTTTTTACCACTGTTTTAGCATGAAATTTCGAGCACAGTAATTTACCTACATATACTTCTAAGCCGAAAACATACAATAGAAAACAAATATATGCAGACACACCTGCAAGAGAGACATATATGCATATTTCTTGTATCCTCAGTATTTGCTACTCTAAAATCCAACTTGCTGCTTGGTGGACAGCAGTCCACACCCTCTTCCCACACAGGGAGCGAACGGGACTGGCCTCGCGGGCTCCTCCCTGTGGGCACGCCCCCGGCGCACTCCGAGTCTCACCTGGGCGGCTGTAGGTGGTGAGGTTGCCGTCACTGTTCCCGGTGCCGGCCGTGCAGCAGCTGATGGCGCAGTCGTTGTGGTTGTTGCCGGTGTTGGGCCACGTGTCCGCCAGCCAGGGCTGCGCCGCGGGCTCACCGATGTTCAGGAGCCCCGGCCTGTGGGGGGCGCACAAAAGCAAGCGTGTGGGCCTACCTGGCACCGCCGAGTCACGGCCGCGCCCCCCGCCCCTTCTCACGTGCAGTGGGGGGAACAGCCGCCTGAGATGACTGACAGCCCTTTGGCTTTGCTGCCGAGGCCACGGTGCTATCGGGGCTGGCCTGGGCCTCCGTTTACACAGCCATGACCCCGTCACCTGGCAGGGCTGTGCTTTAGACCTAAACTTGCACCGCCTGCCACGTGCCACGCCGCCTTTCGTCACAATGATTACAAGTCAAACGTGGAGTCTGAAAATATGGAAACGTACGGGTTGGAGTCTTTTAGTGGTTGGAAGAACACCTGAGTTGGGATGGGGTGCACTTCTCCAAGTACAAAAACCATGACTCTTCTTACAGAATCATTGAAAAACGGAACAAGCTCCTTTCCTTAGACAATGGCTTCTTCCAGTGAAACACACCGGCACCTTTCTCTCCAAAGCCATGTCTCAGGCGCAGGGAGCCGGGCTCTGTGACATTCTGCACGGTGCCCCCTTCACGTGTCAGTGCACAGTTATGGGGGCTGGTCAACATACGCTGATGGCAACCATGTAAGATGGATGAATCCTTGCATAAACAAAGGCAAGCGAACGAACCAAATCTGGTAAAACAAAGATGTCCCTGCTATTGTGAACAATGCCAGTAACTGTCTGGGGACGGGGAGACACCCTTTATCAACAAGGGTGCCTGAACGAAGCATATTTGTATACCTAACCCTTAACTGTACCCCACAATATCAAAATAAAAAGCATTGATATATATAAAAAAAAAGATGTCCCCTCAAGGGATCCCCACTGCTGGTGGTTTCTTGGCAGAGCTGACGTTAACCCCCCTTCACAGCGTGCTAGGCACTCAGACTTCATGGGCAGGTGCTGACGGGAGCCTCGAACCCTGGTCCAAGGCCTCGAACGGGTATCCTCCATATCCCACCCCACTGCTGACGCCAGGCGACAATCCGCAGGAGTGCCGAGGACGCACTGGGCCGTGCGACCACGACCACCCGGCCGCACCACAGCCCGCATGGACTTCCTGGTGGCCTCACTTTCCACGTCAGGGGACAGTCAGAGTGTCTTGTCTGCCGGGAGGCAGGGGTCTGGCGTCTCCCTTCCGTGGGTCTAACTGTCCGATGCAGGCAGGCAGCCGGATGCTTACCACCCAGGGGACAGCTCCCGGGAAACAACTCACGACACGGAGAACGTGAACTCGCGAGTCATGTCTTTACGTGCATGCATGTGCATGGGTACTGGTGTACTAAAAACATGTGCTCTTTGCTTCCAGGGCATGGGGCGCTGTTCCGAGTCCCATACACATCTGCGTGCACAACACAACCACAACACTGTTAGGAGATGGCGACTGTGATGATCCGGGCTAGACGCCCGAGGGAGGCGTGGAAGCTCGTGCGCGGGCATATGGAGCCAGTGGGCAGCAGGGCTGGGATTCAGACCCAAGCGGGCCAGCCCACGTCCACACTCTGACCCAGGGTGCTGCGAACACACTGGCTGCCGTGCTGAAGCATCCCAACGCGTCGAACATTCTTAACGAGAGGACGCTTGGGAAGCACATCTGAGGTCTTGTGATTCAGGCAAGGCTGTCAAAACCAAGCCAACTTGCTATCGATGCTGCTGGTAACAGCATGCTTTGAAGAGCAGTGTCGCTAAACTGCTGGAATGTCACCATTTACACACAAGTTGTAACTCGGACAGCTGGACCCTGGGAAGCGGGTATTGACAGAAATTCCGCACATGGTCCCCTCCAGCCCTCCGGCTTCGTCTTCCCTTGGACTTAGGGGAGGCACGTTACTGCCTTAGAAGTGAGGAGAAGGAAAACTCCCCCCGGACACTGTGGGGACGGCATGGCTGCTTGAGTTTGGGTCAAGAGGAAACCTTCCCCAGCCTCCCTTACGTGTTCCGAGAGGAAGAGACAGCAGTGCCACACCACTAGGACTCCCTGTGAGGGACTTCCCCGGTGAGCGCTTCCACGCCGTCCCGGCCTGAGAGAGGCGTGCGCGTGAACAGGGGTCGAGCAGGCGGCCCCAGGCTTTCTGTTTAGACTGAGTCTGCCCTGCTCCTTCCTCAAGGTAGAGGGTGAGCACGGCTATCCCACGGAAAACGGAAAAGGCCCCACGCGCATCAGAGGCCTCGGGGGATGTCACGGCCCTCCAAGGCGGGGGCTGGCATCTTCCCCCACGAGCGAGCGCCCGGCCACCTTCGCACAGAGGCCTGACGGGAGGCAGAGGCAGAACCCGGTGGCTGTGGTGAGGGCATGTTCCTGCAACAGCACGCTGCGACACTTAAGGGGACAGACTGTGTCACGAAGGCAAGGGCGGGAGCACGTCAGTGGCAGCAGGCAACGGCCTCTGCCTCCCTCTGCCCAACCGTTGCGGTCCGCACCCGAGGAAGCCCCCGAGCCGCCGCCGAAACACCACGGAGCGCAGCGCGGGAAGGGAGCGGGGCACCGGCCGAGGGCTCTGGCCCCGAGGCTGAGGGCGAGCAAGCGGCAGGGCAGGCACGGGCCGAGGACGGCTGAGCTTGAAGGAGAAGCGGGGCTGGAGCAGCCGCCGCCCGCCGGCGTCGTGGTCTTGGCCTTCTGGCCACGGGAGCCCAACGCCCCAGTTGCCTCTGCTTTTCCCTGTGTATGTCACGGCTTGGGCACCAAGGGTTTTCTGGAAGGGGCGATGGGCACATCCGAGGTGAGGAAGACCAGCGAACAGGCCGGCCACGTCCTGCTCCGTGATCCCCGGCTGCCTGGACACGCCGGCGCCACAAGCCGGCCGCAGGGCGCGTCTGCCTCCTGGAACCAGCTCCATTTGCAGCTGCCAGAGAGTTCCAGACAATCTGCTTCGCCAGGGGAAAAATCCAGTCCCGGGAGTTTTCCCTTAGTCACCGAGGACTAAACGCCAGTCTCCTGACATTCATTTCTTCGACAGCTCACTCATTCTTTCCTTGGTTGCTGACTGATGACGTCTTCCCAAGACCAACCGCACAGGTAGCTTCTCGACGGCACTGACCAACTTCGCCAGGCCGCTCTTCCCGCGAGGACATCCTGCCGTTGCCACACGAGCCACGTGCCCGGCGTCCTCCCACGTCCCCCAGCCCATCGCCCGACGCTCAGGGCTGGTCGACTTCTCAGGGGCGGGGCGGGCCGGGAGGCAGCGCGGGCGACACCGCCAAGGCCGGGCGGGCCAGGGACAGGAGGGCCTGACGCCCTCCCCGATGGACCACCACATGCACTCACACGCACATGCTCACACAACCACACACGCCCCCATGTATGCTGAGGTACTCACCCTTGCATACATGCATACACCCCCCCACACAAATGCATACATATTCACACCCACACTCACACAGGCACACATGCTCAGCCACATAAACACACACTCACACAAATGTTCACACATGCATGATCACGTATACACTCATACACACACATTCACACACATGCTGTCATACACTCACACACATTTACACATGCTGACACACATGTTTACATGCATTCACACACCGCACACATGCTTGTTCATACACAGACATGCACGGACATGTGCCCTCACACATTGTCACACACACGGTCACATGCAGACACATGCTTACACACCCAGACTCATGTTCACACATTCACATGCATGCTCAGACACACATACAAACACACATGCTCACCCTCACACATGCTCACGTCCACACACATGCTAACACTCATTTCCACACATGTTCAAACATGTTTATACACACACTCATACACACACGGTCACACACACATTCACACATGCTCACGCTCACACCTACACAGGGCTCTCTCCAAGGTGGCTGCCTCTCCCAACCTGCTTGCTTCCCACGGCCCACGCCACCGAGGTCCAAGGCCCATTGTGTCTCTCCTGCCGCCATGCCCGGCCCGCAGGTAGGAGCATGTCCACGCTGCCTGGATGGAGCTGCATCCGAAGAACTGACCCAGTGCCAGCCGCGGTTGGTGCGTGACACAGGGAGCAACGAGTGAACTTGAAACTGTGTGACGGTCATTCTGGCTGTGACTCCAGGCGGCAGCCTGCACGGCTTTCAGCACCTTCCGGCATTGCATGGGGGAAGCAACCACCGTCCGGCAGTGCTCGCAGTCCTCGCTTCACCGCCAGGGAACTGCACCAGTCTGTGACCACGTGAGCTTCCCCGCGGGCGGGGAGGGAGTGCTGTGGCTCTCCGTCCTGCCACGCACACTGGCACACGCCACCCACACACACTGCTGTCGGGCCGTGTAACTCGGGGCCTATCCAGGTGCACACCCTCACAAGAGGAAATGGCACGTGTTCAGCGTGTGCACGTGTGTGCGAGTGGGTGCACACACGGACATTTACAGCTGCAAGTCGGAAGGCATGCAAGAGAGTGGGAAGCACACTCGAGGACTGATGTCAAGGCTGAACTCCTGTCCTGAGTGCCACACGTGACAGACGGTGACACGACCAGTTATCCAGACCACCCCGTGAGGAATCATCTTTCACCAGAGGCTGCCCATGGTAGCCCGGGCTGAGACTTAGATGCCCGAGTCGAGCCTGTGATGCCCAGGTAGAGCCTTGGATCACGTATTCACATGAAGCCCGCCCAGTAACCCCGGGTCAAGCCCTGGGTCACGTATTCCCCACGAAGACCTTCCAGTAACCCCCAGGTTGAGTCCTCGGTGGCACATCCCCATGAAGACCTGCCAGCAATACCTGGGTCAAGTCTTGGGTCATGTATCCCCAAAAAGACCTCCCAACCACACCAGGGCCGAGCCCTGGGTCATGTATCCCCATGAAGACACCCCAGCAACCCCTAGGTTTAGCTCTGGGTCACGTATCCACATTCGACCACCCGGGAGAGCTCCTGGTCACGCATCCTCATGAAGACCTCCCGGCATCTGCGTCTTCCGGGGTGGCAGGTTCTCATGGGTGTGAAAATGGGAGTCAGCCGTGCCCAGGAGAGGCGTTATCAGCGTTTGCTGACAAACGCCGCCACGTCGACAAGGCGCTCGAGGATACTCTGAACACTCCACGTGAGGCTACACTCCTGGCTTTCCATCAGGCTAGACGTTCTTAGGAGTCAGGCATGTGACGCCCAGTGGCAACCACTTCACCCATGGATAGAGGAAGCATCTGAGAAGCTCTTGGAATTAAAACGATCACATGGCTTTGGGCAGACATTTTTTGTTTTCATCCCTTAAGCTAGATGTCACTGTTTTTGAGGGAAGAAAAAATGTCGCCTTATTGTGGAAAATCCTGAAGCTGGGCTCATGCAGCTTGCACCTTATTTCAGCCCCGAGCTGCCTGTCAGAGCGATTTGCGATTTCTCTGTGAATACGTTGAAGTTCACCCAATAGAACTGCCAAAAAAAGTCATAAATACAGAACTGAGGTTCGTTTTAAGAGGGAAGATCTCTTTGCTCATGGCTCCAAGATGCTTCCTCTACCGCTGCACGTTTCCTGCCAACGGAGACGGGCACCGTGTTGAACTCATAACAGGAACAAGAAGTCACAGCCTGCCACTCTCGGGCAACTGCTGGCTTCAGCAGGTTTCAGACGAACCCTTTTGCTCTGACTGTCTCTGCTAACTAGCTGGGCTTCCTGATCTTCATAAATGCCGCCGCTTAATCCCTCCAACACCCTTTCATCATCTGCGGCGGCAGGAGGTCTGGGGTTCTCGGGCCAAGCCCGCCCTCTGGCGGTCGCTGGCTGAGCTGCACCCACTCCAGCCAAGGGCTTTTGTGTGCATGGTTGGGGGGGGGCGGGACTTCAGGGATTTAGACAAATCTCACCCGCAAGTGACACCCTTGAAGCAAAGAGGGAGACAAGAGGAAACATCTGGAATTCCCTTTAGGATTCGCAAAACACGCGAGATAATTACCTCCCTCCGCTGCTCACAGCTTCGCCGCCTCTCTGGTACGTTACTACAATGTGACCGAAAAGAAAAGAACGGTTAACAGACAGGTTTATACAGCACAAGAAATTACAGTCAGAGCATCCTTCTAAAAGGCGATTCCCTCTCTCTTCCTACCTAGAGGTATTCTCAACACTCACAGGATGTCGCACATTTTCGGATTCCACTGGCGAGGTTTCTAAAGATCGTACCGGGTTAAACGTGCCTCCCACTCATCGCCCTAACGTCCTACCGAGGCTGGGATCAGGCAAAAGCACGTCAGGCCACTCATCCAGGTGCCTGTGCCCATCTGCACACTGGCATTCCCACAGGCGGCTATTTTGAGTTTATTAGCACATGTCCACTTGATGATCTAATCTTAAGTTTAGGGAAAAAAATCTTACTCGATTATTCTCAAAGAAGTACGAGCACCAGTGAGACAAAGGTGAATTTTAACATAAACCTTTCTGCACACCAAGATGTTCGCCAAGTTGCGACTATCAATTAATACAACCTATATTTTTTTAAATTGCGGCTGTGGAAACCCTTATTATATTTTCATCAAACATGGCTATAGAATGACTATATATTTTAATGCACCTGAAAGCATTCTCAGCCTGATGAACTTGGGGAATAAAGTTTACCCACAACAGAAAAAGGTTTGCACACAGTAAGGCAAGGGTTTAAGAAGATTAGCTTTTTTGTAAATACAGGCACGTCTTCTAAGAAGAAATGTGTTTTCAAAAGCTGCCAAATTCTGCGACTTAGAAGAACTCCAAGCTGGAAGCGTGTTGGAGCGAGATAGCTGCTCCCAGCACGACAATGACCACTGGCGGGATTAAGACAGGGAGGCACGAGACAGGCCACCTCCCTCTGGTGGGCACGGCAGGAGGCCCAGAAAGGACCGGACAGAACAGGAGGTGGGCGCGGGCTCTTGGACAGAGCAAGGCTCTGGCCTACGCACGGCGGGGGCTTCTGGTTCCCTTCCACAGCACCGACTCCAGGGCTGAGCGCTCCTGGGAGACGTGACTGACGGAAAACTGGGAGGAAAGCTCAAGGGAGGGAAAGCGCCTGGCAAGGTGCACTCAGGACAAGCGCGTTAGCAGCTCAAGCATGCAGGGGTGAGAGCGGACACGGGGGGCGGGTAGCAGGGGGGAGGCTGAGCCATGCACTCGTGGTGAAGCGGCGCCTGCGTCGTGAGCGTGGGCACGGGGAGGCCAGCAGGGGGAGGCCCAGCCGTGTGCTGGCGGTGAGGCAGCGCCAGGCGGAGTCAGCGAGGACACCGGTCCCGCGAGTCCTTCCCACCTCGCCGCGGAGCGCAGCACAGACGGGGGAGGCGTGCCAAGCCAGCGGGGGCAGCGCATATGTACCTGTCGGCGTGAAGGTGAAGGACGGGACTGCAATCGAAACAGAACAGAGACGGTCAGTAGGCGGCAGAGGGACACGTCACGTCAGCGCAAACCAGGCAGGCGCCGAGCGCGCAGCACGGGTCTTGAGGCCAGCCGCACCGACACCGTGCTGTCAAGGGCCCGGCCACGGGGGACCCCACCTGGCGGACACAGCTCACGGCCGCACACAGGTCCCGCTACCCACCACCTCCACACCCCGGGGGGGGGGGGGGCCCCCCC